ATTTCTAATTTATAACGTAATAATAGAAAACACAGCAAAACACTGAAAAATATCAATGCACGTAAAGGCCAACTCAGACAGCGTCGTACAACGCAGCCCGACACGAATTGTAGCGTCGGGTCTGTGTGAGTTAAACGCAGACGAGATGGTTTGCGTCGGGGGCAGTTGCGTCGTAGAATATTAAACATGTTTAATATTTCTCATGATAGCTTAAGACTGTCCCCGACGATAAATCGCGTCGGGCTACGTCGTACGACGCTGTCTGAGTTGGCCTTAAGGGAACGATGACTGGATCTCGAGTGATACTGCACAAAATTGATAAGCGAAAGCTAAAATGTAACAGCCATGAAGAGAAACTAGAGAAATTGTACAGTGCAGTCCTTCATTAATTGGTAGGAAGGACTGGTCGTAAGTTGTTGTAGCTGAACATTCAGATTTTATGACTTTTTGTTTGCCTGTTTGATTACACTACATTGAAAAATACTAAATGGATGGTTGAAATATTACAGCTGAGTATATAAATTCGGCATTCCTAATCATTTTCACCATTTCTAAACAGTGTATTTTCATTATTATAGAGCTGTTTCATTGGTAATAAACCAAGTAGAATTTGATATACAGTAAACTTACTGCAGGCTTTTGTCAATGTTATCAACAATCATAACAAGACGTGACAATAATGCTTCGGTGACTTATAATGTTTTAATGGTCATTGTTTGATATCTTTTTCACGTTGTAAATTTTATAGTTCATTATATTTGATCATTCTTTTAATTGTTTTACTGTATTTTAATGCGAGAACCCAATTTCCGACTTGGAGCAATAAAGTGTATCTTATCTTATCTTATCTTATCAAACCAGATATTATTAATGTCATTAGTTTTACAGAACATGGTTTCACATGATTTATCCATATTTGGTATTCAAATTCAGATCCATTAATAATTATATTATTATGACACGCCAAAGTTTGCTGATATATCTTAAGTACAGCTTTTTCTTCATTTATATTGTAATTTACTGCCCAGAAATGTAATCCCTACAGTAGATTATTTGTATATTTTTTTTCTGAACTATGTACAGCTATATGATTGCTGTATCTTTACAGCTGAGACTACAAGGAAAATGTCATAGAATAGATTTACTGTCTCCGTTTAGTTTCATGTTTACAGTATTTCTAAACTGCAGATGATGGCATGCATGAAACCTCTAAGTCAATAAGGATGACCTTTTATTAACTGAAATATATTCAACTTCATTTGATACTTGATAATATTAAATACTGTATATTACTGCTGATTCTGTATAAGTGATGATATTAAATATATTACTACTGACCCTGTATATGTACTGTAGCAATACAGTATTTATTAATTTCCTTGAAATCATTAGCATAGGTGGGGTGCACTTTACAATATTGTTCCCCTTAGAGAAAACGGATAGTACGTTTAGGCCAAGGGTGGGCATAAAAATCGGTCGGAGGGCCAAAGTCAATTTTTGATTTAACACCAAGGGCCGCACACTAACTCCGATGTTTCCAGTGTGCTTCTAAAAACCTTCAAGCACTGCTTTTACACCACTTTATTCTCAGTTTCAATATTACATTTTACAGATGGTCGGTGTCGATCAAGTTTTCTAGCAATGTTGCTTGGCGGACCGCACAGATAGGGTTTTAATTTTCATTTTCGTGGGCCGCAAAAAACACTGGCGTGCATTTCAATACTTGGAGTATGTATTATACTATCTTATCTGAGTGAGATTAATCAGTGGCCCTTACAGCTACAAGGAAAAGGTCATAGAATAGATTTACTGTCTTGTTTAGTTTCATGTTTACTTCTAAACTGCAGATGATGGCATGCATGAAAGTCTTCGAGGATGGCCTTTTTATTTATAATAAAAATATTCAACTTGCTAAGGACAAAGAAATTCATGAAATTGAATGTTACAGAGTCTAGGACCTAATGGATTACAGTACACCCTACAGTACGCTACTACCTGTAAGCCGAGACACTTTTTAAACCTTTTTAGTGAACCCACTAGCCGCAAATAATGATGACTTCGATTAAGAATACAATTTTATTTTTGGCTATATTAGCATACCCGCCTCCATGAAAAATGGATATTTCAGAAAAAAATTAAAGTTTTACTTTAATGTTATTTAGCCCTCTGCTACCGTGATATCTCCAAAGTATTTCTTCCATTATATAAATTTAAAGCATTTAACCATCCCATACTACACTGTTTACATTTTACCAATAAAATTTTATTTTTATTTTCTCCGCCGTCCGTATGTCTTTTAGAAAAACTATTTGCTAAATAAGAAAACAATTTTTTCGCCCTCCTCCGATGATCTTTAAAAAAATTAGTTCACAAAACAGGGAATAAAAAAGTCTCGCCTAAGAGAATGTACATGGTAGGTTTAACTCTCAATGAAGGATTGGGTTCCTATGAGTTAGAAAAGAAGCTTATATACAGTAGTCATATACAGTAGTAGTAGTACCAATTTTTAAGAAAGGGAGTAAAGGTGACACTAATGATTTATCAGCCAGTCAGTTTGACTTCTGTTTGTTGTAAAGTTATGGAAAGTATAATTCGAGAAGCAGTCGTTAATCATTTTGTTGTGAATAAACATGTTATCTGAACAACAGTACGACTTCCGAGCTGGGAGGTCCATAGCTACCCAGTTGTTAGAAGTACAGTAGTTGAATGTTGGTCCAAACTTGATGGTAAAGATTATGGTAAAAATACTAATGTTGCTTAATTAGATTTCGAAAAACCATTCAATTCGGTTGCACATATAGCGCCTATGGTTATTAAAGAGGGTTGAATTGAAGCCTACGTACTACAGAAACAAATCTTTTGCTGAATACGCAACTTTTTGAAGTGAAGATGCCAAGAGTTGTGGTAAAAACGACAATTTATGGTTGGTCAGATCATGCAGGTATACAGAAAATGGTCGCATGATTTTAGTGGCACACCCCAAGCAAGCCCGATATTATTTTTGATTTTTATAAATGATATACTGGAAGTTGCTGAGTCAGAAGTTAAAATATTTGCAAATGATGTTAAACTATTTGATTATGGTAAATTCAGATGTACAGTAATTTGCAGGTCTCATTGGACAATATATTTGAATGGTCACATACAGCAATTACCTTTTAATCCAGAAAAATATAAGATTACAGTATGTATATTTGAAGAAATTAATATGTAAGATTTGAAATTCGATTACTTCACACAAGCTAAGTCACATGTTAAAATAGAGGAAATTTTATCTAAAAAGATCTGAGTGCAGTGCAAAAGAAATTTGAAATTTGAAGAGCATACTTCTGTTTCTAAGCAAACAAAATGGTACTGTAGGTCTTATAAAAAAAAAAAAACCCTTCACTTATAATGACAAGGGCAATTTTCTTTTTCATACTATATAAAATTGATAATAATTTAAAATAATAATATACATAGCTGTAAAAGTATTTTTCAAGAACAAGTTTCAAGTAATTTCAATCGTACACTGACAATACCAATCATCATTCATTTCCATGGTCCGTAATCCCGGGGAGCTCACTTACATACTAACCAAGACATGAGACACTTGCGGTACCTATTGTACTGAAAATTCTTATAGACTTGAACTACCATTTACCAAAATCGCACTGTGCTCTAAAAGACGACAGAAAAAGGGTTACTCAATAGTGCCAGAGAGGGTGCAGTATTGACTGGTTCCCGATGGCAAAAAGTGTTCCCTTCCGGTCGCGATCTCGTGGCTGTAACAAACGTAGGCTTAGCAGGGGGCTTACTGGCTTAGCACCCAGTTTAGCTTGAATTTCCTGCTAACATCGTGTGGAAAATCGTGTTACTTTGACACAGGATACAGTAGGCCAGGGATTTAACTACCAATTTCACCCTGGTTATTTCCCACAATTGTCCTCGCAAGTCTACCCCATAAATGTTGCAACTCCCCCCCAAATTTCCCACACTTGTGCTACCAAGCCCTCGAAAATATTATATCCGACCAGTTGGTTGAAATCCAGTTTGCCGAAACCTGGTTTGCCGAAATTTAGGCCAATTTTCCGAAAACCCAGTTTGCCGAATCCAGTTCACCAGTTCACCGAAAACATAAAATCCCTTGGCCGAAACCCAGTTTGCCGAACCCAGTTTGCCGAATTTTGCCATCACTGTCGTACAAAAGCGCACTAGCACACTACTATTTTGAACTAAATGTAATGACGGCAATTATGTAGGCAAAAACCGAATGTAAACTTAACAACCACAAAAAATTAGTTAAAGACCATCAAAAGTGCTTCCCTGTTGCTCACAACCGAGCCATACAATAAGTGATTTAGGCTTTTAATCTTATGCACCAATGTCAAATCTACTAAGGCTACTGTAGATGTGATAAGATCCGTTGGTTTCTGTCTTAAATCTAACGTTAATGGTTCAAACAAAAATTTAGGTTTTATGAGTGATTATTCGTTTATGCGGTATAGGGCCTTATAGGCATATAATATGCCTATAAGGCCCTATACCGCATTATATTATAATAGTAAGTATTCTTCCTAATGGTAAGTATTCTAGGGCTAGGCCCCTAGGCCTACTGTAAAAATCATTCCCACGGATCCCCTTCCCCACTTCAACTTCGACCCCACCCCCCATTTTAAGAGTCTTAGATATGCCAATGGTAGTTTGGTGTGCCCGCTGATATAGGATATACAGTATACAGCCGGTGACAGTGTGTTTACTCACATGCCACTACCTAGATAACAGTAGCAGTAGGCTTAAAGTAGCCTAGGCCAAGGCTGCATACAATACAAAAGCCCTAGCTTGGACCAGGCTTGGTGGTACGACTTACGCTTACCCTACTGCCTAGGCCTAGCTAGAGTACATTCACCCGGCCGGCAATGGATTAAATGAGCACAACAGAAATGTAAATATATTACTGTACCTAGGCCTATCTCGCATAAGGCAATAGGATGAATTATTTAGATGTAATTTAAACTCACCTTTTTCCTGCTGTACATTTAGTCAACTTTAGATGTTGTTACAAAATCACACACCTTGCATCACTCGACTTAATACATTTGGGCATTTGCTTATCCATCCAAATCCAAACTTTGGTACAATAGAAGGCGCTGTTGCAATTATGTCTCACAAATCGTAAAGGAGGCAGAGAATAATTGATGATGCGCTGTGAAATGTTATTTTTCATTTGGAACATAAACTTTTATCCTAAACCAAAATCTTTGCCTAAACC